AGGCATATTTGTGCATTGCATATGTAGGTGGTACTTCCTGGCTGTTCCTTGCCATTACTTTTATCTCACTATCTTTCTCCCTCCCTGAAATTAGTAGACTTTCTGAAGTCACTAATGAAACATGCACAACGGTCATTGCAGTAGCCTAAGAGCAAATATTCCTAGCCTGCTGAGGCTTTAGATCACACAAGTAAGCTTGACAGTTTTTATTGGCAATTTGTATCAACAAGAAAATAGTAATATGTTTGACTAACAATAATGTGATTGATATAGCTGACATGTACCTGTGATTCATGTGAAGTAGGATATTTAGTGATAGGTCCACTTTAAAGGACCTCTAACAAATGTAAGTACACATTGAGCCTTCCATAACAGAAACCATGAGAAGAACATTAGGGAGATTAATAAAAAAAAAACTCCCCTAAATTTAGTCATACCATTTTGTTCTTGAGTATTTTGCTAGTGTATCTTCTTGGATAAAGTAAGGTTTAAAGTAAATGCAGCAAATATTATTGAAGTATAACGGCAATTAAAGAAAAATACCAGTTAAGTGAGCTTTAATCCGTAATGTCTCAAGATCACCTCTAATTATGCCTTTATACTATTCTCACTGTATAAATACACTTTCTGAAGGAATAGTTTTTACTTAAATATCTTAAATCAGTGGTAGAGGGCAGAGAGAACATCACCTTTTGAGGCAGAGTACACGTTTCTGAAATCTTAGAAACAAAATTGCCTTAGAAGTAATTTCTGCATTTTTCAGCTCACAAGTTTTAGGGAAAGATATCATGCTACAGCAAGGATGAAAATATTATAATAATTGTATAGCAGGAGCTTCTAATTCAGCATGTATGTGTGGAAGATTCTAGAGGTACAGTCATATGAAAAATTAACTACACTACTTGGAAGTTGAAAATTTGTTCAACATATTTGAACCAACAAACATTAGATTTGTATCCAAACAGTGCCTACAGATAAAGGCAACAATAAAACACAAGAAAAAAAATTATTTAAACTATTGATTCCACAAAAATATAAGAAATGGTAATGGTGTACTGTGGTAAAAGTAAGCATACCCTTGGCATCAGAAGCTGGTATTGCCCTCTTCAGCAGGGATGACTTCTTGTAGACATTCGCTACAACTGGCCACCAGTCTCTGACACCTGAAATGTTTGACCACTTCTTCATGAAATGTCTTAAGTTGCAAGATATTTGTGGGTTTCCTTGCATTATCTGCCTATTTCAAAAGCCCCCTAAAAAATTCAATAGGAATCAAATCAGGGTTTAGGGCAATCCATAACCCTTCATTTCTTCTGATCTATTCCTTGGTAAATGTTCTACCATGCTATGAATCATTATTGTGTTATAAGACCCATTTGCTGTTCAACCCCAACTTTTGGAAAGATAGCCTCACATTCTCATCAAGCATACTTTTATATGATGCAGACTGTATAGACCAGATGACTGCAAACTGCCCTGTCCCTGAAGCAGCAAAACAACCCCAAACTATAACATATCCACCACCATGCTTTACAGTTGTTATAAGGTTCTTCTCCTAAAATGCTTTCTTCAGTTTAAAGCAAAGATGTCCACTGTTACTCTGACTAACTTTATATTTGGCTGATAAACACATTATTCCAGAACGCCTGGCTTTTGCCTTTATGTTCAATGGCAAACTTTAGTCTTGCTCTAATGTTATTTTTGCTTTTTCTTAACACACCTCTCAGGCAGGTTAAATTGGAGCAATTTCTTTCTGGTATGTAGATCAGGGATGAGGTGTGGGTTTGCTGTTAAGTTGGGTTCTTGGTGAGCTTTGCATGTTTGTTATTCACGCAAAGTGAGAACTCATGGGCAAGTTTGTCCAGTCCCCAGGAGCAAACCCACCTTCCTGTAGAGAAGTGAAACATTTAGCCATGGTATTACTACTGCTGCTAAATGTTACACCTTCCCCTCAGGCTTGTATGGTTCATGCCAGGACCTTTGGATCTGGTAAGCATTTTAAGTCAGAACCCAAGCAAAAACAAAAACATGACAAAGACATGGCATGACATGGGGTCCCCCTCAAAATTCATTAGCAGTGAGTGTGTGCCCCCACAAACTTTACCAGGCCACATTACCTCAATATGAGGGGGTGCCTTAACAGGGGAGACCCCCGCTGACAACACATGCTGCCTTTTAAAGTGACATTATACCCTCCCATTTTTTCCCCATTGTAATGCTACTTTAAGTACTTTACCTTAAATGATGGCTCTTGGTCCGATCATCTTCTCCCTTCCACTTGTTTCCAGCAGTCCCTCCAGCGTTGGTGTCAATCTCTGATCCAGCGCAGACTGCTGTCTCTTCCGTCCCATGGAGCCTGCATTCACTTCGACTGAGTCTCTCCTCCTCTCCCCATTAGTAATATAGACTGCGCATGCACCCACCCACCCACATCATCCTCCTGCACGGCCGTTCGGAACCTGTGTACTGCAGCCGGGAGTGAGAGGTGGAGACAGAGGTAAGTATTTACCTGTTTGGTAACTTTTTTATTGTTTTAATGTTTTTGCAGTTATCTAATGCTTGCTAGCAGTAGATATATGTAAAAAAAACCACAGAGACTTTAATTCAACTTCAAATAATATTAAAATCACTGCTCCCAGCCAAAATATTTTTTTAATTTTTTTTTATTACTTTGCTACATGTCACCAGAGTATTGCCCAGCTTCCCCTGCACTTTGTTAATCCTTTCCCAATTAGTCTGGAAAATGGAGAGAATTGATTTTCAAGATTGAACCTCCTAATGACCTAATGTGGTTCACATTAAAGTTAACAACTGGAGAACTTTTCAGCATGTTTGCTGAACACATCTGCAAATCGAATCCAAGCATGTTTACTAGACATGTGCACTGCCAAAAAATTTGTTTCGTTTTGTTTTGTTTTAAATTCGGATTTGTGTTTTTTCGTTTTTCGGGATTCGGGTGTGAAAGTCAATTCGGATTCGGACGAAATTCGGGAGCAGTAGGTCGAACGTTCGTTTCGGTTTCTGTTCTTATTCGTTACGTTCGTTCGTGACATTTGAGGGGGAAAAAATATTTTTCTCCTTCTCTAATGTCACTATGCTCCAACGAGCAAAACGAATAAGAAACGAAGAAGAACCGGGGGAAAAACGAACGTTCGAACTACCGCTACCGAATTTCGGAAATGGAAATTCAGATTCGTTTGCATTCGTTATGTCTGGAATTCGGAATTCGGATACATCCGAATGTCCGAATTTCTGAAAATTTGTCCGAATTTCGATTCGGAACGAAACGAATCGCACATGTCTAATGTTTACCCAATGATGACATTGAATTTGACTACTTGGTGAATATGGCTGGCAAAGTCAAACTTGCCTTTGCATTTTAATACTTATTATCAATACTCATTGAAATCTATTAAGGTTTTGTTTTCCTTTATAGCAGTGGAGTTTTAATGTGAACCTGTGCCCAGACTATACACACTAATGTACCAGCATATTCTAATCAGTAAAAGCACTTTCTGTTGCTAAATGCACTGTGAAGAAATGTATCTTCAAGGCTTACAACAAAGGTACTGGAATCTCAGCAATATTGTAGGGAGAGTAGAATCTTGGCAGCCTGCCAGTTCTCTAATGTAAAGAAACAGCAGGTGTTTCTAAGCTATTAGAAGTCAACTGAAACCTCACATTATAGTCTATGTTGTGATCTTTAAGAATTAATTACTTTACAATAAATGCAGTTA